TATTAAACTTCCAAATTAATAGCCTCAGCTTTCGCTAATACAAACTTTCAAAATTCCGTCTTTTATGCCAATCATCACACTAACGCCTTCACTCTTACTTTATCCTTAACAGAAGGACGAGCGGGCATTGCCTGGGGACCTTCTAGCTATAAGATGCTCTTTCTCCCCCCCTGAAATTGAAGTGTCTCTCACTTCTCCCCCACCAATTTCCTCTTTCTCTCTCTCTGCACTTCGTTCGTCTGGTTCAACCCTCTCCGTATTCGACAGGTGTGGTTCAAAATTCGCTGCGCACTTAGACGTGCATTACCTCACCATCACGTGTTCATTTTATAGCCCGAAAGCAAGAAGTGCAAAGCAACCGTAAAAGAATTTGACCCGCGAAAGAAATTCCGCAATCTCTCGCGAGTTACCAGCTGCCTGTGTACGTTAGAAAGTGTTCGTCATTGACGTCATAAGAACTCATGGCGTTGCTAGTAATTTGTCATTGCCCTTGTTGATACCTGGAACGTACAAGAGATGATATTTAAATGTAAATATCGTGTCGACCTGGTTAACGCCTCTGCCTGTCTTCCGTCAATTCAAATAGGATGTCTGGATCAGTAAATTCGTGTCCAAAAGCCTGGACAGGATTCAAGGCGACGGTGGCCGTGGACAAGATTGAACACACGTGTCCTGCCTGCTCGTGCCGTCAATGTTATCAGATGAAGTCAGTGCCATCTTGATCACTTGCACTTTCGAGTTCCGTCCTTGTGCCCGCTTGTAACCGGAATGTCGGTGTTTGTTCGAAAAACGTAACATGAACAGGATTCACTGACAGGCTAGGCTAGGCTAGGCGAGTGTGTGAGATTGAGGTTCTCACGGCTGTGAGGACTATGATTTTGTTGTTCTGGGTTTATTCTCCGTCTTTAGCCCTGAAGATGGAGGCAATATGTTTATCCGAAACGTTTATATCTACATTAATCCTCTGCTCAGTTGAGTTATCAGCCCCCCCCCCCCCAAGCCTTATGTTTCGAAGGTCTTGTGCTCGAGTTTCGACCTGGATACCTGAAGCTTTGTGTTTTCGCGATTTTCCTCCATTTTCTCCGGGATAGTAGGCTGTAACTTGGTGGCCACAACACACCCTTTCCAGTTCGTCCTTCAAGCTGAACCTAATTGGTTGTAGAAGCATCGTTAAATAACTCAGCATGAATCAACAGATTTCAGCACGTGCGCCTTTGATACCTGAGGACTATTTCTTGGCGGATACGTACGTGTTTTCTAGCACGGCTGAGCGTTGTCCTTCATTATCACTGGTTATCATTGCAGCATGCTTTGTTTGCTGCGAGACCTTTGGATGCTTTTGCGTTCGTGTGGGGAGGAATCTGAGACGCTTGTAACTTCTTTGCTTCCGGCTGAAATATTGGATGGTCATTTGACTCTCCGGGCATCGTTCCATTTACCATCCTCAGTGAGACACGAACATTTTTCTTCCTCGGATACCCTAATACCAGATTCCCCTTTGTTTTCACGTTGCCTAATCCATTGCCAGAACAGTAACTTCACATGGGTCAGGACAGTGTCTTTCAAAATTCTTGCCTCTTCGGTGTTCAGGATGATCATTTGACCATATTTCTAGCCTTTGCAGAGAAAGGCCATATCGATGACCCAGGGTTTCGAGACGAACTGAGATTCTTATGACACTCTCATCTTTTTTTGAATTACGTAGCGTCCGAAATGTCTTTATAAAAATGGTACTTGTGGGTTATCGGGACACATCGCTTTAAAAGTTAGGTTAGGTTAATGTGTGTGGATAAATGACATATACTTGAAAGTTATTATATTTTATTTCAATAAATGACAACTAACCTAACCTTTATTTATTTCGTGTTCTGTCCGACGACAGGTCCATATGAACAGGATCCTTCCATCCTTTTCTCGGACTGGGACCTGTTCATATACGTTCTTGGCAGATGATCCAGAAGTGGTTTGCCATTGCCTTCTTCTGTGTGTGAATGGAGTAATTGTTGGTATGCCCCCGGAGGAAAACTCCGTGTTGCCTAGACCACGGCCTTGCCCAACACATGTTATAAATTCGTACACCGCCGGGAATCGAACCGATAACCCACATGTACCATAAAAATCTTTGTTAGCTCATAGAAATATTTAATGGACAGACTTGGACATTCAACTGTGAAAACCTTGTCCCTTCCGGGGGAAAAAAAATTCGTGTCCTTGACTGAATAATTACTTCCGGAAAAGATGATTCTGCTGTTTCACCGCAGTGGTGACTGAAGTCGGGTAATCTAATTACGTGCATTACGTGGCCGTAGAAATACATCAATGGTTGCATCACGTTTCTTGGTGTTGAATGGGAATCCCGTCTGATGTTGAATGTATGATGAAGCCTACGCTCATGCCCAAGGAACCACCACGCCATGAGGACGTGGTGAGTGTAAGTGCAAGTATCCTTAACATCTGTATGAGTGATTAGCTTATCGCCCCCGGCCGCTTTAGTCCCGAGGGAAAACCACCGGTATCCATTGGATTAAGACGCTGTGTCGTCCTGGATGTGGCGAAGATAGAAATTCTGTCTTCCTGTGTGTAGCCATTAAGTGACTGTACCGACTGAGCTCGCAAGGCTAAAGATTAATTTCTAATTGTATTCTCGTTTGGATGCGAGCATCATTGGAATTGGTTCCCTGCTGACTTATCCCCGGTTAGGCAATCTTTTATCGTCTACCTGAAGATTAATGGCGCAGTGTGTGGTAGCCTCCGAGCTCCTCGTGAATGATTCTGGCCCCCTTGTCGTCGTCAGTTCCAGACAATTCATAACCGCACAGAAGAGCAAAGGAGCAATCTGCCTACCTGTCTCGTTCTGTACCTCTCCACATGTTCTATTAATAGCCAGGTCCGGTTTTGGAGGCCAACAATCTTGTGAAGCCGCCCCCTTCGCCCCGCAAGTCTTCTCAAGTGGTAAGCCCACCGTCGTGGTCCGGTGTTCCTGCCTTTCTGAGGAGCATGTGGTCACAAGTCTAGCAGGAGCTCGCCTTTGTTTGTTGACGGCTTTTTCATGTGCTTCAGTTACTTAGTATCGAATATACGAGCTTGTTTTTTCATGCTTTATTTATTTATCGACGTTTTTTCATCTGCTTAGATTATTTAACATCAAAAGGTTTGCTGTGACCGTGGACGATGAAGTGGAACGAAGTGTTAACTACCACCGTGGAACTCATTAATCGCCCACCTTATTCTCCAAATAGTCGCCTTATTAATACCTGGTGAGCAGCGCAAATTATAGCCTCCTGCCACTCCGTGCATCTTCGGGCTAAATATTTTCCTACGCACCTTGGTCACATTAAGTCTTTGTTATTTCCTCAACGTGGGAAACCAAGTTCTACACCCTAACAGAACAAACTGTAAAATTACACCTTTTTATATATTTTTTTTAATGGGACGAAGTGTTAATGGCCTATTTCAAGGTCATATATAGGCCATCGAAGAATGCGTCTTGAGAGACTGAGGAAAACGTGAAACAACCAGTCGCGGAATCAGTATTGGAAGCCAGGACCTCAGAAATGGTGCAGGAGGGCTTTAGGGATTCAACTGCGAAGTCAGGTCCCGCTCGTGAGGAATCGAAAACTGATATTTCTCGTGTAAATTGAAGTAGCCGCCGACGTGGCCAAGTGGTGGACTACCCTCAGACTCGCTCAAGTATTTCGTTCACAATTATTTGCCACAATTTGTTGTGTATAAAGCGCTGAGTCCATTACCCAAAGTTCTTCTTGAGAAGTTCAGCGAATCAAAAAATTCCATGCTCTTTAAGGACTATGAAGGTTTATTACGTCGTTAACAAAATCCCTCCAATGAATCAAATACACACTCCCAAACATTTTCTTGAGATTCATTTTAATATTATCCTCTCATCTACACGTAGGTTTTATGAGTTGTCTCTTTTAGGCTTTTTAACCAATTTTGTTTTAAACATTTATTATCTCCTCAGTGTACCCT